GGGCCGCGGCCGACGCCGACGCAGACGCCACGGCGGCGGCCGTGTGGTGAATCTGCTCCTCCGCCGGCGTGTCGTGGTCCACGTGGAGAGCGATCTCTCCGCTGTTGTTGAAATCGAAACTGCCGCTTACTCGACGGCTCCTAGGAGGATTTACGGCGGGAGAATCCGAATCGGCGGGTTGGGTTCGTTGTTGCCAGAACTGGTGGCTGGATTCGCCGGAGGTGTTGGGGACCGGATCCATGCGGAAGTGGTCGCGTTCGTGTTCGTGTTCGTGGAGAATTGGGAGCTTCTCGGGGCTGTTTTCGATTTGATCTCCTCCTTCGCTGCTTCGAATCTGTTTGTATGAGCTCTGTGATTTGAACGATCTCCTGAAATCCATCCCAAGCAACAAAAAAAAATGAAAATACACTACGGATTTTCGGAAAACGAAAATGGAAGACGGAGAGAGAGAGAGAGAGAGAATGTGTGTGCATGGGATGTGAGATTATACGTGATTCAATGACATATTTTTTTTTATAATCCATGCAGCTTCTATTACCATATTCGTTCACACATGAATTTCCGTGAATTTTTATAAATTTTTTTTTTATGAGATCTATATCGTGACCTTATTATCCATTTTTTGTGCTTTTTCCGATTATAAAAAAATATAAATATATTGGACCAAGAGTTTTTAGCCACAACAACAAAATCAAGAATTGATGGTAAAAAATGATAAACTTTCAAATTAATATATAAATTTTAAATTTTCAGTAAAACACACGAAATTATCCCAAATCCTAGTTAAGATCGTAAATTTTACAAAAACTTCCAAAAAATACACTAAGAAATTAAATAAAAAACTCAAAAAACTATACGTCAAATAGAAAATATTTTTTTGTTAAGTATTTATAAAATTCAGGATATTATTTGAAATTTAAAAAAAATGATAAATTTCCTGAAAATATTAAATTCGTGTGCATTAAATGGAGGGATTGTAACATATTTGTAAATCTATTTGGTATTTCCAAAATAAAATAAATAAATCCGAAGAAACTTGAATGCTAACAAAAAAAAAAACAAACAATGTCTTATCAGTCTTCTTCCCCAACTTCAGCGTCTTCCATTTCAACGCCATCATCATCCTCTTGCTCGCTTCCCATCTCATAATCCTATGATGTTTTTTTGGATTGACATGTAAATAAAGGTATTAACTATATTTTTTTTACAACATGAAATAGTTTTTTGGACTTTTTTTTTACAATACACCAATAATAACTTTTTGACATAGTGACTAATTTATAATAACGTTTAATATGACCACCACTAATTCAGTTTCAAAGAAAACGTCACCAATAATGGCAACGTTAAACCTAATTCATCAAGAAAAAAAAACGAACTCTTTTGATTTTTCCAGAAACTAATCAATTGTTCATTTACTATTGTGGACAAATTTCGGAATAGTCCTTCCAACGTCGGTTACAATATATATATATATATATATATTATTTATTTTTAGTGTATAATATCTGAGTTTTAAATCACAAATTATGAGACAAACTTGGGATATTTTTCTGTCCGTGGCTTGAGCTAAGACACGTAAGCAATAATGACAGATTGAAGATCGTTGATGTCCCTCACTTCGTGTCGGACAAAACCTGCTTCTGTAAGAAGATGATCCCACTCCTCCATATTCCTCTCTCTGCCGTTCTTCATCTGAGCCATCATCACCACATCTAACAGCAATCTCGCATACTCTAACTTGTCGTCATCATCATCCTCTTTCTTCTGCTCCACCACTGCTTCAACTATTATCACTTTCCCTTTCTCTTTCGGCACTGCTTCTCTGCTTCTCTTCAGTATCTTCACGCAGTCCTCGTCGCTCCAATCGTGTAATATCCACTGTCACGTATATATGTAAACCCATATATAGATCTGTGTATGTATACGTGTGTGTGTGTGTGTGAATATGATGCGCATGCTATATATGTTTCAAGAAAGTGATTGACCTTGATGAATACAGCGTCGGCGCGTGGAATGAGACCGAACATGTCGCCTGCAACGTTCTCAACGCCTTCGAACTCACTAGCACCTGCCATGACATGGGGAAGATCGAAGTTGAAGGCTTTGATCCATGGAAACGCCTTCACAACCATCCCCATGGCCTCTCCGGTCCCGCAGCCGACATCAACCACCGTCGAAACTCCGTCGAAAATGTCGGCGCACGTGTTTGTCACCGCGGGAACCACCCGCCTCGTGTCGCAAGCCATGGCCTCGTTGAACGTCTCTCTATAGCCCGGATCCTCTGCAGCGTAAGCCCACGCGTCCTTACCGTGCGCCGCTTCGAACGGCTGGAAACCCTTGCCGGAGACGACGGCGGAGCTCAGCTTCAGATACGACGCGACCGCGACGGGGTTGCTAGACAGTAGAATCATATGAGCCATTGACTTGTCGTCGCGGTTAGTGATCATCATGCGGCGAGAGAGAGGCGTGTTTGTGTAGCCGGTGGCGCCGTCTTTGGTGGGTACTGCTTTGAAGATGCCTTGATGGGCAAGAAACCTCATTATGCGGCGGAGGAGGGGCGGAGGGAAACCGACGGCGGAGGAGAGATCGGCTAAAGTCACGGGCTGTGACGTTTGGTTCTCGACGGCTTCTGGTATCTTCAGTTCGATGGCGCATTTCACCGCCGCCATCTCAGCAAACCCTAACGCGTATCTCCATATCTCCACCGAAGCTTTGGCTTCTTCTTCGTCTCCCATTTTTTTTACTTTGGGAAACTCTCCAGAGGGGGAGATACAGAAGTTGTGGCTCAGGGAATGATTTGGATATCTTCATGAAGATATATTAATTTATAGAAATATACTTTTCAAATAATGGAAAAGAATCTCTTTCTAGAAACAATAAATGAAATTGTCTCCTTATCTCAGTTTCAAGACCAATAAATAAAATATCCTCACTTTTATCCTTTTCAGTTTAAAACCACGAAAAATCAATTTAAAACACTATCCTTTTCCTTAATCTTTCAGAAACTAACTCTTAGCTGTTTAAATTAAATTAAAAACTATCATTTTCAACATTTAATTTATTTCCAATTCAAATGTCGACTTTGAAAATGATATGATACATCTTGACGTGGATTCATCTCCTCCTATAAAACACATTGTAAGTAACCATCGCCACTTGTTCTTCTGTCGGTCCATGTCCATCTAACAAATTATTGGGACATGACATTTTATTTAAATTTAAATTTATTTTAACACTCGTTTTAATTTTATTTAACTATATTAAAAAAATATATATTATTTTTATATCGAAACTATTTTAGATATATTTATATTTATCCTAAAACAATTTTTAATATATATAGATTTTAGTCTAAAATATAAAATGGATATCAAAATTTCACATTTTCCATATTTTTGTATCTCCTCATGGTCGTCCCACCAATATATATTTATACACTTTCTACGAAAAAAGTTTTGGTTGGTTATTCTAATGTTACTCGAATCAACACACAAGAAAAATGGCTTATAAATTTGAAGTATGCTAATTCAATTATTTATATATGGATATAACAAATAAAAGGAAACCTGATAAAAAAAATCATATGGCTTGGCTAACCTATGCCTAAAAGTCTTTCTCCTTATATGCATGATTATGACAGAAAAAAATATTACGACAACATTTTAGTTTTCTTATATCTTTAAACTTTGTGTTGGCAAAAAAAAATAATGTAAGAATCCATTTTCTTCTATATTATTTTAGGGATAATCGCCAAAAAAATCATATACTTTTTCCAGATCAACGAAAAAACTCTGTACTTTTTTTTATTACCAATTAAACCCTATACTTGATGTGATTAATCCATAAAATTCCGTACTTTTTAAACATTCACCGAAAATCCCCCGCGAATGCCAACTCAAGCAAAAATGATGATATGACAATGACATGACATGAACACATCATCATAATTATGCCACATCATCATTTCAAACAAAATTTAAATTAAATTATTTATTTAAATTAATATATATACACACAAATTTCCACATACATATATATATATATATTAAAAATAAAATTATTTATAATTAAAAATATATATATACACATAACTACAATATATATGTATATTATAACTAATGTATATATATATTAAAATAAAAATAATTATAATTAATTTTATATATATACATAATATATATTAAAATACAAATAATTATAACTTACATATATACATATAATATATATTAAAAATAATATGTATATGTATCTATATTAGTTATACAACATATACATATATTACTAATATACATATTAAAATAAAAGTATATATGTATGTGTGAATTTGTGTATATATATTAATTTAATTTAAATTTTTTTTGAAATGATGATGTGAAATAATTATGATGATGTGTTCATGTCATGTCATTGCCACATCATCATTTTTGTTTGAGTTGTGAGTTGGTATTCTCGGGGGATTTTCAGTGAATGTTTAAAAAGTACGGGTTTTTATGGATTAATCACACCAATTACAAAGTTTAATTGGTAATAAAAAAGTACATGGTTTTTCCGTTGATCTGGGAAAAGTACAGGGTTTTTTTTGGTGATTACCCCTATTATTTATAACTAGTTAGTATTGTTATTTGGTAAAAGTTTGATTTTTTTAGTTTTATTTCATATAAAATATTTTTGTTATCATTTTCCGTACGATATACCAATTTATTTGTTTTTCTTAAATTTCTTAATAAGGGTTATGATTTTTGGTAATCAGGGTTTACGTTGACATTTGAAAAAAATAATAAGTTTTGTTAATCAGAAGGATAAAAAAGGAAATTCATGGAGTAAATTTAAAAATATTATAGTAGTTGATACGATGGTTAGGAAATGTTAGAACATGGTTCTAATATTTAAATTTAATTTTCATGTATATCGTGTAATTTCCTGTTTGACATGCGATAATCTCCTAAACCGGCGCCAAATCGATGAACCGGGTCCGGTACGCATCTTCCACATTGGCTGGTATCAAACGTGTGGATAATGGATGCAAAGGATTTTATCTTCTTGCATTTGAACACACAGAGAGGCGAGGCAAAGCCGTTATCAGTTCAAAAACTCCCGGCGGAGGGAGAAAGACAGAGCCTCCGGCTGAAATGGCGGCTCTCAGATTGCCAACAAGGCCTGTGCAGACCGTCCATGGCTATCGACCCGTTTTGACCTCTCCTTCGTTGGCTTCTGGTAATCTATGCATTTCATACTTTTGCCGGTCTAATTAGTGAATCATTATCCTCATCGATTGAATCGGTTTGTAATTTGGCGAATTTTTTAACTCTGGACAAAAAGTTTCTGTTTAAGGTACTGTTTGATGTATGAAGCAAACCCACTTGGTTGGATTTGTGAACTGGTCGATTTATTTTCTCATGTTGAATTGGTTGAATCCGTGCTAGTCTCTGAGTTCTTCCCTTTTCGTTTGTTGTTTCTGACTTGAACTTGACTAATGGGTGAAAACGAAATCTGGGTTTTGTTTTTGGAGAAGTAATTAATAATTTGAATCCCTAATTAGGTTTATCACAGCTGATTTCCATTTGGTTGCCATTTTCTTCTGCAAGGATATGTTTTAGTTAGTTCACTGTGTAGCTTTGGCTTCTGTATAAGTATGGATTAAGTGGGCATGTCTCATTTTTCATTTTCTGCACTTCTATATGGTTACTCAACATTTGGGGACTACTGTACAGGTTTTGTATCCAGAACCTTGGCGCTTGTTTATCCTTCTATCTTGCTGCCGAGACACAGAACGACTCGGTCAGTGCAGATTAGGGCTAAAAGCTCATCAGGTTTTCAACTTATGATTATGCATAAACTTGTGTTTTCTTCCATTCTCTCTATTATGCTCATGAATCTGTGCTTTTGGTATTCAATCTTTGTTTGGTTCTTGCTCGAGGAATACTGAAGTCGAGTGCTCTCTCTTGTTTTTTGTCCCTCTCTACTGCACCTTGCAGCATCAGTACAGCCTGTGACTGAGGATGCTAAGGATAATTATCAGCCCAAGGATGTCTTTCTTAGTGGAGATTCAATACGCCGCCGTTTTCTTGAATTTTATGCCTCTCGTGGGCATAAGATTCTTCCAAGTTCTTCTCTTGTTCCAGAAGATCCTACTGTTCTGCTAACAATTGCTGGAATGCTTCAATTCAAACCTATTTTTCTCGGGAAGGTATTATCTGTGCTAAGTAATACTGTTTAGTCTGTTTTACAGCAAGCACATGAGAATTTACTTATGAGTCGGAACATTCTGTGCATTTTATTTATATGCTGCCATGCTGGTCAGGTACCTAGGCAGGTTCCTCGGGCTACAACTGCACAGAGATGCATACGTACAAATGATGTAGAAAACGTTGGCAGAACTGCCAGACATCATACATTCTTCGAGATGCTTGGTAACTTCAGTTTTGGAGATTACTTCAAGAAAGACGCGATCAGATGGGCGTGGGAGCTGTCTACAATCGAATTTGGATTACCTGTTAATAGACTTTGGGTTAGCATTTACGAAGACGACGATGAAGCTTTTGAGATCTGGCATAATGAAGTCGGTGTTCCAGCTGAGCGTATAAAGAGAATGGGCGAAGAAGACAACTTTTGGACCAGTGGACCAACTGGCCCTTGTGGTCCATGCTCAGAGTTGTATTATGATTTCCATCCTGATAAAGGTCCTGATAACGTCGACCTTGGGGATGATACCAGATTCATTGAGTTTTACAATCTGGTTTTTATGCAGTATAACAAGAAGGAAGACAGATCACTCGAACCCTTGAAACAGAAAAACATAGACACTGGTCTTGGCCTGGAACGTATGGCGCAAATTCTTCAGAAGGTCCCAAACAATTACGAGACAGACCTGATTTATCCCATCATAGAGAAGGCCTCACAGTTGGCAAATATCTCATACACTTCCGCTAATGATCAGACAAAGACGAGTCTAAAAGTGATTGGAGATCACATGCGGGCAATTGTCTATCTCATATCAGATGGTGTCGTGCCTTCAAATATTGGTAGAGGTTATGTTGTAAGGAGGTTGATAAGAAGGGCAGTTCGCACGGGTAAGTCTCTTGGTATACATGGGGATGGCAAAGGCGATCCCAAAGGAGCATTTTTGCCAACAATTGCTGAAAAAGTGGTAGAGATGAGCGCAGATATTGATCTAGATGTAAAATCGAGAGAATCTCGCATTCTCGAGGAAATCACGCGGGAGGAACTTCAATTTAAGCAAACCCTAGAAAGAGGCGAAAAATTGCTTGACCAAATGCTTCAAGAAGCCGTGTCAGATGTTGTGGAAACTGGAAACAGGCCTTGTCTATCAGGAAAAGATGCATTTCTTCTTTATGATACATATGGGTTTCCCATTGAGATAACCATAGAAATGGCCGGGGAGCATGGGGTTGATGTAGATATGGATGGCTTTGAAGTGGAAATGGAGAATCAAAGGCGTCAATCTCAAGCTGCTCATACTGTTGTCAAACTGACAGTTGAAGATGGCAGCAGCATAGCCGAAAATATAGATGACACTGAGTTCCTTGGATACAACACTCTTTCGACTCGTGCAGTAGTGCAAAGCCTCTTGGTTGACGGGAAGCCTGTCATACGGGTTCCCGAAGGAAGTGATGTAGAGGTTCTTCTGAACAGGACACCGTTCTATGCAGAATCGGGAGGTCAAATTGCAGATAATGGGTTTCTATATGTTAATGGTGATGGGAATCAACAGACTGCTGTTGTTGAGGTCAGGGATGTTCAAAAGTCTCTTGGTAACATTTTTGTCCACAAGGGTACTGTCAAAGGCGGGGTCTTGGAAGTTGGGAAGGAAGTCGAAGCAACAGTGGATCCATACCTAAGGAAACGAGCAAAGGTGTGTCTGACATGCCATCCTGCATTTTCCGATACGCCTTTGTCTTCATCCTCCTTTAACGGCCATTTTGTCGATTTTGTAGGTTCACCATACTGCCACCCATTTATTACAATCGGGACTTAAGAAAGTAATAGGACAAGAAACATCACAAGCTGGTTCCTTGGTGGCTTTTGATCGCCTCAGATTCGACTTCAACTTTCATAGGCCCCTGCATGACAGTGAGCTCGAGGAGATTGAAAATCTGATCAATGGGTGGATCGCTGATGCAACACGTCTGGAAACAAAAGTGATGCCTCTTGCTGATGCAAAACAAGCTGGAGCCATTGCTATGTTTGGAGAAAAATACGGTGAAGAGGTACGGGAGATATCATCATGCAAAAACTGGGAGACTGCAATGCCTTTGACATGGAAGATCCTTATATTACAGATGGTTTTACTGCAGGTTCGTGTGGTGGAAGTTCCGGGTGTATCCATGGAACTTTGTGGTGGCACCCATGTCGGGAATACTGCTGAAATACGAGCCTTCAAGATAATATCAGAACAAGGAATTGCATCTGGAGTCAGGCGTATTGAAGCTGTTGCTGGTGAAGCATTCATCGAATACATAAATGCCCGGGATTCCCAGATGAGACGACTGTGCTCAACTCTCAAGGTATTTTCTCGAATCATATTCCCTTCAGATGATAGGAAAAGGCGTTCGATTGAATTAGTTAGAAACCCATATCTTATGACATGATCGGTTTGACAAATAAACTATTGTTGGTGTGGTTAATCTGAAGGTGAAAGCGGAAGACGTGGCAACCAGGGTGGAGAATCTTCTAGACGAATTACGAGCAGCGAGAAAGGAGGTGTCAGACTTGCGTTCGAAAGCAGCGATCTATAGAGCATCTGTCCTTGCAAACAAGGCATTCACCTTGGGAACTTCACAGACTGTAAGGTACAAGATTTTCATCACTTGCCTGAACTAAAATCCGTAAAAACGCAGATGCATTCCAAATCTGATGGATCATTCATGTAAAGAATCTGAATCATGAAAACCTCTCTCTTGTGGTGAATGTTTGATTACCATCAGAGTAATAGTTGAGTCGATGGATGACGCTGATGCTGACTCGCTAAAGAACGCTGCCGAGCATCTGCTAAGCACGTTAGAAGATCCAGCTGCAGTGATACTAGGATCATGTCCGGACAAGGACAAGGTTAGTTTAGTTGCTGCTTTCAGTCCCAGTGTAGTGGCTCTCGGCGTTCAAGCGGGGAAGTTCATAGGATCCATAGCTAAGATGTGCGGTGGAGGAGGCGGTGGCAGGCCGAATTTCGCTCAAGCAGGAGGAAGAAAACCCGAAAATCTCCCGAGTGCCTTGGAGAAAGCTCGGGAAGATATCGTGGCAACTCTATCCGAAAAAGTCGGGTGAAAAAACTGTAATCCAAGTCTTGGTTTTGATCTTGATCCAGTCTACACAGATATCTGCAGAACAAAATTGTGCTGAAAAGAAAAGCCCAGTCCTTGTTAGTTCATCATGTGATTTGAGAAAGTAAATTTGATGTATAGATACAAGATTTGGTGATGTAAATTTCTATGTATAATACATTGTATGACCATGCCCAGTTTACCAATTCAAAAAGGTCGTTTTCTGCCATGAAAGTTAATGTTGCATATGTGTAATAAATGATTAGCTTTTCTTTTTGTAGATTCTTTCAAGAAATTTATATAAAATTAAGCATGTATTTGTTAAAAGAGTGATTAGAACATAAATAAATAATCCCATATAATTATTCTTTTTGATATTCTTAATATGGTATAACTGTCATCGAATTTTATGTATAGTGAAAAAGAATACATGAAACTGCGGGGAAGTTGCAAAGAAAGTGACTTCATCCATCTCTGTCGGAAACTGCCAAAGGCAATAGATAGATTAGCATAAAAGTGGAAAGAACAATTACTAAAGGTAATTAAAAATCAATTAATATTTTCTCAACCTTTGAGTAATTTTAAAAATAAATTCTTGAAGTTTTTTGAGTGGTATCATACATGTTCCTACACCCTTGTGTGTTTTTTTTTGGGAATTTATCGTAAATTATGTAAATATTTAAAGATTCTGGATTTGAGTAAGGTGGCTGCTTTATTGTATAAAACGAGAAAATCTTGAAGAATGCAAATTACTCACCATAAACCATTTCAATGATCATGGATTTTAATATCCATTTTTGAGTTTTTAATATATTTCTATTTAATTATTTTAGAATTCAATTTTTTTTTAAATTTATAAAAGCTACATTCATTAAACATTTATATTAATATTCTATTTTTATTTCAAATTATATATTTATTAAAAAATCAATTATTTTTGTACTCACTTCAATCAATTTTAAAAACTATAGGTAATATAAATATAATTATATATTATTATTCCCTTTGTTTTGAGAATTCGGGATGGAAATAACTATCTTAATTATAATAAACGATTTATTGGCAGACCGGTGGTGGGCCCCATTTCTCAGTCTTTGGAGACTTCTCAAGTCAAACCGATTAAAACAAATAGGAAGTCGTTCAACACTTTTCCTCAAGCATATTATATATCACTGAAATTACCACAAAAAGTGTATAAAAACTCCGATTTTTAGTAACATTTATTTATTTCAAAAAATAAAATGAAAAACAGAATATTTGTTCAAAAGTGAAATTATAATAATTCACGGCACAAAAACTTTCTATGATAAATACGGTAGTCGCATTACATGAAACGCATTATAGAAATTCACATATTATTAAATGGGCAATATCGTTATTAGTATTTACAATGAAATTTCAACGAGAAAATATTCTTGCAGAGGATATGGTCCACTTGTCAATGACCCCACAGGTAAACCGTGTGGGTCCCACCACTTTGATTGTGAAAATAAAAAATTAAAAAAAAAAATCCACCAAAGACTTTCAATGTAATGCCTCCACATCAGCTCTTGACTTGGTCTGCTCCTGGAAAATGCATCACCAACAAGATATCTTTGAACCCATAGTGTGTGTATATATATATATGCATTAATGCGTATCCAGGGAGTTCACCAACAAACGAGTTCATTGAATACAATAAACTGCTGGGTTTATCGAGTTTATAAATCCGACAGGAATAGCGAGATGGCGACAGAGAATGAGCTCCCACTCCCAGGTTTCAGGTTCCACCCCACAGAGGAGGAGCTGCTCAATTTCTACCTCAAGAACATGATTCACGGCAAGAGATCATGCGTCCATGTCATTGGTTTCCTTAACATCTACCACCATGATCCATGGGACTTACCTGGTAATAATGCGCATACCTTCCACTCCATCATTTGTAGAGTTGGATCCTTTTCAAGACCCATGATGTGAAGTCTGATGGGTTTTGTCTGAATCTCTGTGCAGGACTGTCCAAGATTGGGGAAAGAGAGTGGTACTTCTTCGTTCCAAGGGACAGGAAGCATGGATCTGGAGGGAGGCCAAGCAGGACAACTGCTAAAGGATACTGGAAGGCTACAGGCTCCGACCGCAAAATCGTCAGCTTGTCTGAACCGAAACGCGTCATCGGTCTAAGGAAGACTCTCGTGTTCTACCGGGGAAGAGCGCCTGGAGGGAACAAAACCGATTGGGTCATGAACGAGTATCGTTTGCCCGATAGTTGCCCCTTGCCTAAGGTACCTTTCAAAAGAAGCTCCTCCTCGGTGATTAGGTATACTCTTTGTTGCTTATCTCACATCTTTTCACCTGAACAAAAAATATGCAGGATGTTGTATTGTGCAAGATATACAGAAAAGCAACCTCGCTGAAAGTGTTAGAGCAAAGGGCAGCAATGGAAGAGATGGAGGGGAAGGCGAACCAGACACACCCGACATCTCCTCTGTCGTCGTCTGAGACCATCTCATCTTGCGGTACACAGTATGACTTGATAGCTCCCATTCCCATGCCTCAGGTGGTAGCCATGGAAGAAGAGAACGGCATCTCGATTCATGAAAGCCGTACCGAAAAGGCAGAGGACGAGGAAAGATGCCGGGCGACAGAAATCAAGATGCCATCTTCGTCACTGAAACTGCCGTCTGGGAGCCTGCCCGAGCTGCAAGTACCCAAATCAGGAACAGATTGGGGCCAGGATCAGTTCTTGAGCATAAGTCCTTGGCTCCAAAATCTTACCCCTATAATTAACCTATTGAACTTTTAGGCCTGTAAAGAACAACGTCGCCACTAGCAATACGATTAACCAGTCCATGCATTCCATCAATCATCTGGGAAGAACATCGACGAGCTTGACCAGACCAGGTCACATGAACCTTGTGACTTCTCGGCTTCAATATGGCATTCCATTACTATTGAACATCTTTACAAGCCATTGTAACTTACAACTTCAATGTAATATATTATGATACCCAAGAGGTATAAATCATAAAGCTTATTTTAACTGCAATGGCAAAAGAAGAAAGATCGCTGCTTTGAACACAGATACCAGAGACATGAAGTTTGCTCTTGAGTTTGCCTCGATGGATGAAAAAAACAGAACAGAACTGAATGTCCAAAACTAAATCCCACGCCACACCAAGTTCCACGATGTAACTCAATGATACAGAATGCCAATCCTCTCGATCCATGAAGGTCACGAAAGAAGCAAGCAATATCGAACCAGAACCTCAAACACAAACCTATGTCGATCGATCAATCGACGCTTTGCACAACATCCTCGGCGGTGAATTTCGATGCCCATGTCCTTATCAGAAGCTAAACCCGCTTGGGTTCGTGTTGGAGCAGCGAATTCCTGTCCTTGACGAGCTCGAGCTTGAAAATGGCGACCTTGAAAGGGTTGACTCCTACTTTGACCGTCGACCCATTAACCCTTTTCCCCGCCGAAATCCGCTCGATGTGAGTGACTTGAACCTCGTCATCCTTCCACACCGGAATCGACCGGACGCTCTACTTCCGCCGGAGCTCCCCCAAGTGCAGCGCGTTCATCGGCACGCGCTGCCGTGAAATGGGTCTTCCAGTTTTTCCTGGGGGGAAGATCTCACGCGCGGATCATACGTCATCTCGCCGGTGGACGCGCTCCTGCCTGGTGGGAACGGCTTAGGGTTTAAGAACGACTCTTGACGAAGGTATCGTACCACCCGAGAAGAATCATCCGTAAAACGATGTCGTATTAGTTCCCTCCCCTCTCTCTACTTTGGAACGGCTTACTTAGGGTTTAATGTGCTTTGAACGCTTATCGTTACCAAGGAATCTGCAACAGTAAGATTCCTTAATGCATTTGGATTTAGTAAATCGCGAGGGCAGATTCATGAATCATGTATGTGTGCCAGTGTGTGTATATATACATAGCTTATCTGTGTTTCATGAGGATCTTCTTGATTAGCATCCCCGGTTTGGGAATTTGTTTTCTTGTTTCTTGATTGTCGTTTTTCATCATCGAAAACACAGACAGAGCAGAAAAAGAGACAGAACAAAAACGGCATCATGGTACATATCGGAATCCAGAAGCATGCAGGCACTATATATAATGCAGATAATCACATATGAATGATGTGATACAACTATTTTAATTCGATAAAATGGCTTTCAGGAAATTAAATATCATCCTATTGGATAAACGTGATTATAATATGAAGTACACCTCCTGCAAACTCCACAGCTTGTTTCCCTATAAACAAATGAAAAAAGATTCCCGAAAGGAAACTAGCGGATGGGCTCTGAAAGAGCCACGATGAGCGTTTCGGCAGGCGCAAAGGGTAACTCCAAACCTGCACGAGCGGCCATTGACAGACAAGACAGCCCTTCTGCATTGTTTAATATCCATCCACTCGTGTGATAACATCACATAAAGAATCTCGTTTCAATGGGTCACTGATTTGTCAGAATGGCTTCGGGGGAGACACTGGACGAGGAAAGCGGAGATCTGGATCCAGATCAACCTCTTCATACGTCTCTCTGGTTCGGTATATATACAAGGATGGGATGAGCAAACCCCTCAACACAAACCCTTTTCTTTCCTCCACAGAAATCGGGAAGAAAGAAAATGGCAGCTTTCCACGTTCGTTCCAACAGCTTGCCTTCAAACCCGAACCCGCTTTCCGTCCTTCAAGTGGATGAGCACTTGACCAGATTGAGATCCTCGAACACAGCCTCAACATCGTCGTCGCCTTCAACCTGCCGAAATCTAAACCATCTTCACGATTTGCTCGAGTGCATCAACAAGATGACGCTTCAGCAGTCCGTACACAGACAAGCTCTGTCGGGAGAGCAGAACATGACAACTGTCGAGGAGCTTCTCGACGGTTCCCTGAGGCTCTTGGATGTCTGTGGCGTCGCCAAGGACGCGCTCTCGAGCACGAAAGAGTGCCTCAGAGATCTGCAATCTGCGATCCGGAGAAAATCCGACGGATTCTTGACCGAAGTCAAGAAATACTTGGCCTGCAGGAAATCGCTCAAGAAATCATTCCAAAACGTTTCAAAGAGCTTGAAGACAAGAGATTCGAAACGCGAGGAAGACGAAACAATGGCGATCTTAAGGGAGGCCGAAGCAGCCACAGCTGAAGTGCTTGCATCGGTCTTGTGCTTCGTCTCTGGTTCCAAATCGCTGTCAAAGCCGAGCGGAAAATGGTCACTGGTGTCGAAACTGGTCAGCCAGAAAAGAGCAGGATCCGAGAAGGAAGAAGAAAACAGCGGAAACGAGTTCATGGGAGTGGATTCAGCATTGGTTTCACTCGCTCGGACGAAATCGGAGAAGGGAATGAGGATGGAGGATCTTCAGAGGCTGGAGATGAGCATTGAGGACGTCGAGAAAGGGCTTCAATGCGTATTCAGGAGCTTGATCGAACTCAGAGTCTCTGTCCTTAACGTTTTGGCCAACTGACTAGTCTTGTTAGAATTCGATTGACCAAATGTAAAATTGTTTCGGAAATGGCATGAATAAAAGATCAATTAAACACCACGTGACCATTTCGGGTTTCGTCTCTGGTTTTGCTTGGTTATATTCGGTTCGGTTCAGAAAAATTATAACCATTCAATTTTATATTAAGTTTGGTTTGGTTCGGTTTTATTGATAAAAATATTCAATTTTCAACAAAATTTTTCGGTTTTTCAGTTTTAGAGAAATCATAAATACTTGATTTTTATATGGAATTGGATTTCATTACGGTGATATGTTATTTGGTTCAAATCGGTTCGGTTATCCGGTTAACTCTTTTTTTTTTAATCTGATTTTGTTCTTTGATTTGAGAAAAAGGATTTAGAAGGATTTACAAGTAATGATCCTTTTCATTTAGACAATCAGTGGCCTAAGATGTTAAGAAGAGAGAATCTGTATTTCATCAAAGATTTGAAAAGAGACTCAATTCCTTCCTCAAGATCCTGAGCGCTGCGCTCCAAACTCTGCACGTCCTCCATTTTCATCCACTTCTCGGACTTCTTCTCCATGATGAACGTCTGAAACGCTGAATCGATCTTCGCAAACTCGTTTTCGGCCCGACCCTCGCACGCAACTCGTTTCTGGTTCATCAGCTTCGAGACCAGCGTCCATTTTCCCGAAGAAGGAGGCGTCGACGACGATTCAGACACGAGGGAAAACAGGGAATGGAACAGAGAAACCGTCAGAGCTTCTGCTTCTCCGAACGCAGACAGAGATCCGTCGACGCTGCTGTATTGGTTTCGGTATGCTTTCAAGCTCTTGACCGCTTTCTGGAGTGATTTCTTGATGGATCTTCTCGAGGCCAAGTATTTCTTCACCTCGCCCGTGAGATCTCCACGTTTTCTCCGGAGGATGGATTCGATCTCCATGAGGCATTCTTTAGTCTGAGACAGAGAATCCTTGGCCATGTTGCAGAGATCCAAGATCCTGAGAGATCCGTCAAGAAGCTGCTCGATGAAATTCTTGTTCTGTTCCCGAGACAGAGCTTGTTGGGTGACGGGCAGACGGAGGAGCTGGTCGAGAGATTCGTGCAAATCTCGAAGGTCGTCAAGTCTATGGCCGATGGAAGAAGAAGACGTCGAAGCAGATTCTGATGAAGATGATCTCAACCTGCATAACTGCTCGTCGACATATGCAGCTTGAGGGTGTGGCCTCGAGGGAAAGCTGTTAGATCGAACATGGAAACCGGCCTCCATTTTTGTTTCTCTCTCTTTTCTTCGAGTTCGAAATCAAGAAAAGGTTTTCTCAGAGGGAGAGAGAGAGAGAGAGATGTTCTTCTTGCTTTCATCACCTTTCGGGTCAATACACACACATATATATATAGATGTAGATAGATATGCCCATCAAACGTGGAAACAAATGGAATCGTGATCAGCGATGTTTTCGCAGTGTCTCCCTCAACAGAGATGAGATTCTGATTTCATCGCCATATAAAAAGTTGCGAACTTTATAAAGAAAAGCAATCCACACGAGTGTTCTCCACCTTCCTCTGCATATTTTACTGCAAATCCAGATTCCAGCTTGGCTTTGTCCCCCCTTGAAGAAGATGACGCCACATCTGCAACAGCTTTAACTTCAATATTTCATTTTTCCTCGGATCTTGTCTGAACCCACCTTGGAAGAATGAAGGAAACTGCAAAAGTTGTCAGCCCCGCCCGTGTGTCTACCGCATAATTTTTTAGAGGTTTTCTGGCATTTATGATCCATGGAATGATAAAGAAAAAAAAAATTGATTGGATCTCAGATCTGTACAAATGTGATTGCACCAAAACACAACATGATCCTGAATTCTCTCTCTTAAACTAACGAAACCGCACGAGTGCATCTGCAGCTCCTCTGTCTCGTGTTAATGGCAGATTCCAGCTTGGCCTGTCTCCTTGGAAAAGATGATACAGCGTAACTCCTACAATATATTCGCGGCTCCCAAATTACATGTGAAACAGCTGAACATTGTCTTCTTCCTACATAACCATCATCCTGTGTTCCTTCTATACGCAGTTCGTTCCTGTCTGATTCTTGTTTCATCTTTATATGTCTGATAAAAAAAAAGATCTCTTTTGCTATTTCCAAATACGTCGAAAAGATGAATCTGTGACCAAAACAATTCCATCCAAAGAGATCGGAAGAAATGAACATTTTTGAATGGTTACAATACAACA